CCTCTTCTCCAAGCTTGACCTTGAGGATGGATACTGGTGGATGGTCATTTGTAACACTGATGCCTGGAACTTTGCCTATGTACTCCCATCCACAGAGCCTGGAGACCCAGTTCAACTACTAGTCATCCTGCATGACACAATCCTACAACTCCTTCACTCCCTCTGCTCTTCCCCCACAATGCACACAAAAACATCCAAGATCTATGGAAAACTCCAATTTGCCAGCATTGCCCTCCCCTGGGCGCTCTCCTAGGCCCAGCCAACTGCATCCTTTCCAAGGCCTGCAAAGCAGCATCAAAATTAAGAAAAACAAAGCTTCCACAACCCTGGCCACAGATTGGATAGCACTTATAAATATACAGTCTCCCAACCAATACACATGAAAGAACTCATCATGCACACACCCAGCTACATCAGTCTTGTTGACGCCTCTGGCTGGGGTGTACTAGGGGATGTATGGCTCAGCAACACACACCAATTGGAACATTTTGTCTGCTTTGTCCAATCATGGCCCCTCCCATCAAAACCACACTTTGCTTCAAATCCAACCCCACAGGTCACCTTTTTTGGACCCTGTCTCCTGCACCCCTATCAAATCACAACGTTGGTTGCCTTAACCCATGATGCGTGGTCTGGGCAAGTTACTGGCAGTCTGGACCAGGTTTGTGCCCATATGGCTAAACATGTGCTCAGGGCCATCACCACAAACAACACTCCAACTGGCAGGACAACAGAGCCACTACCTCAAGAGATCTACCCTACAACTTCTGGCTGGGTACAAATGCAGCATCCAGGCGCCGTCCCACTCACCCTCCCACACACTACCTCCTCAGCTTGGGTAAAACTTGCCATGCCCCAAAACCAAGACCATTGGTKAATTAGCAATAATTGCATTCTTTTTCCTCTTGCAAGTGGGGGAATACATGATACCCACCACCACTCAGACCACAAGTCACACCACACCCTTCACCATCAGGGATGTCACACCAAGGCACCACACTACTTGACTTGACCCAAGACTTCTGTTTGCCACTCTCCTCTCCAACTGCACAGCAGCAAGGCTCTGCATCTAGAAACAAAGAATTGAAAACACATGGAAAGTATCTGCCATGAATGGTGCAAAGGAAAGTCGTGCCTACGATGCCTAAAAATACTACTGGACGCTGGCGCACCACTCACAGCATGCATCAGTCCATATTATCCCAGTCCCACCTCCACCCCAGTCCCACTATGGGCATGGAATCTGAACAGTGCAATACAGGAAGCAGCAAAAGCCCTTTGTCTTCACAACACAGGCATCACACCAGACACTGTAGGAATGCACAGCTTCTGCTCTGGCGGGACCATGGCAATATACCTCAATGGTGTCCCTGCAACCACAATCCACAAATTTGGCTGTTGGAAAAGTGATGCCTTCCTTCTTTAGCTCCAAGAACAACTCCCACATTTCTTGCACAATGTCTCCATGCAAATGGCAACTTTGGTCCCATATCACAATATCCAAATTGTTGCAGCCATACAAGACATCGCTCTTTCTGCACAACAAATTTCCAAGACCACAAAACCAAAGAAGCACTCCAACATGCAGAATCAACGCCCAACACCCTACTTGACGTACACAGCTTGCTTCTTAAAGAAGAACATCCAAGACACTGGTACCATGACAGCTGGCTCAACCACAACTCCCCCACAGCAGGCCACATTTTCAACCCTTACCTCTGCTTCAAACAGCCAGTCTCCATGATACACCATGTAACGCCTTCCAGGCACGCCCAACCTTAAAATCTCTCACAATCCCAAACAGGTCAGTTGCAAATAAGCCAACACCCAACTCCTCTTTGCCCACACACTCTCAAACCATGTTTTGTCCAGCATCAGGAGCTGTACAATAAACGACACTTCTTGCCATCTTGCACTCAGTGCCAGTGAACATCCTCCTGCACCCCTTCAACAAGGCAGCCATCTTCTGCAACAGTGTCTTTGTCAGCAACCTTACAGACCTCTATGATGGTGTCTACAATAACCTGGAACTCCTCCATGCCACCAATTCTGTCTCCGTAGACCTCTATGATTTACTCCTCCTGTGTGTCAGGGACATCCTAGCCCAAGAGACGCTTGAAGTCACCTCCCCTCAGGGATGCCAGCGCCATGAAGCTTTCCCCTCCAGCGGCTTGGGAGCCAGGCACAACCCTGCCCCAGGCCTCAACCTGGAAGTCCTTGACCTCTCTCAACATTCCAGCAGCAGCAGTGGCAGCAATGGCGCCAACAACAACAGTAGCAGCTCCAACGTACCCATGCCTACAGCTGTACTCCCTCAGGCTGTGAATACTAGTGACCAAGACAGGACCCAAGAACCCTCCATGCCGGCAGCCATCATTGAGCAACCCAACAATGGCAAAGACTCCAAACTAACTGGTAAGGACAGCCCCAACTGTCAGCGTTGTGACATAGGCCTCTATCAATTCCTTCCTACAATCTGTGCCCACATAGTAGCTATAGCCCCTACAGGGGCCACATGACAGCTCTACACCACTGACCAGTTCCATGAGGCTTACTTTACCTTCTTCCACAATGCAACCCAGCAGGAACTCAACTGTTTCCAACAGTGGACCCACCCAATGAACAAGTGCCTTGCCCTTGCGACCTGGTACCTGGGCAACAACAATGATAGAACCATGGCCTTCTTTGAAGCAGGCAAACATCCCTGCTACAAATTCCACCACTGCCTTGCACCCAACCCATCTGGTCTACTGCCTTCCCCAGGGATCTGGCACAAAAGCCACCAACCAAGCCAATATGAGCACCACCACCACCTCTGCATCMTTGTCACCTAGTACGAAATCCACCGCACAGCAAACACTGCACAGGCAAATTCCAACAGCAACAACAGCTCCAATGACACTGACAATGGGAACTTGGACTGACACACCACATTCCCCAGTGTTGACAAAACACAATGGGCCTACCACCATACAAGTAGGTGTTTCAATGGAGACAAACCTATTGCAAAACAGTAATAGGTCAACAGCGTTGTCAATGCACCACCAACTTGTGAATCCCAAACCATTACACATTCTTTTACACATACTAGATCTAATCTCATTAGTGAAATCCAAATGCACCTAATTTTGGCAAACACTAAAAAGTTCAAATAGTTGACCACTTAGATCCTGATGATATCAGACCACCACAGTGCCAAGAAGAAGCCCAGAATCTCATCCAAGAGCAATAATAGAAGAAGGAAAGGCAAGGGCTACTAGTACATTAACTTGGGCTAAGAACAGTTGGCTACAGTTCACCGGTACACTGCACTTCACTAACTTTAGTGCGCGGTAGCCAGTAACTTTGAAGAATTCTTACAGCCCTGCTGGACTTACCGAGGAAACAAAAAGAAACTTGTTTTTAGTGTGGTTTTGTACAAACCCTGGTATACCATTTTTTGCAAATAAAGTAGTACTTTACCTTGACCAAAAATAGATTATTCATTTTTAACTTAAACATTCAGTCATTATTGTGACAAGTCATTCTAGGAATAACCTAGTTTTTGCACCGTAGTTTGCGGCCGCAACCCATTAGGAACAACTGCCCTTATTGTTACGAAATGCGTAGTACTGTAACTAAATACTATTTGCACGCAACTGTTACGAAATGCATATGTAATATAATCGGTGAGCTACTCATGCAGTACGTGTAATCCGTATGTATTCTGATCCGTACTCTGGAAAACTCTCCTTAAGGGAAAAAAAAAATTATGTGCAGTCTCGTGCTGTGCACTTGACTGCACATAATTTTTTTTTCCCTTAAGGAGAGTTTTCCAGAGTACGGATCAGAATACATATGGATTACACTAAGTAATCTAACTGAGGTCGAGGTTGAGAGCTTGCTCGAGACCGAGACCGAGGTTAGATTACTGTCAGTAATCAAACAGAGGACCACCAGGATGAGGTTGTGGAGGTCGAGAGCTTGCTCGAGACCGGAACAACCGAGTCCTGGTGGTCCTCTGTTTGATTACTGATGGGTAAGGCAGTGAGAAGTCTCACTGTTTATTTACGTAATCATTGAGTTGCTCACTTTTCGTGTGTATTCACGGCTTCGAAGGACAGCAGCTACTGTTGAGATACGGAGGAGGCTTGCTGATATGGAGGACGCTCGCTGATACGGAGGACACTGATGCGGTACAAGTTGCTGATACGATACGAGGAGTTGCTGATGATACGATACGGAGGACGCTCACTGATACCGACGAGAACGCTCACTGATATGGAGGACGCTGATGCGATATGAGGAGTTGCTGATGATACGATACAGAGGACGCTCACTGATACGGAGGCTCCTCGCTCCTCATACGGCGATACGGGTTGCTGGTCCTCCCCCTAAGATCTTAGATTACTGTCATTACTATGTTTCTTCTTTTATTGTCAAGAATTACCTTCATCATATGTCTGTTTACTATGGAAATTGCCTTATGCTTGATGGTGCAAGTAATTCTGCTCAACCGACTTGTCATCGACTGTCATCATTGACTCCAAAGAATTTTTGTACTCTAAGAAGCAATTTTTGGGTTCGGAGTTGTATTCAGGTTCAGCCAAACAACTAGCAGTAACGTGTAAAAAATTTGGTAAGGCCTGGCTGCTGACCTGAATACAATTTTTGAATACAGTATTCATGTACTGCAGGTTTGTACTCACTTGTTTGTTAGTGCGCGATTTTAGTATTCATTTAGTATTCAACCGCGCGTGAATACACGCGAAAAGTGAGCTACTCGACGATTACAGTACGTAGTATTTTCATTTTCGAACACGAGTTTCGTCAACTTTAAGTTAAAACTCCTGGCGCACCGGCAATACTCTGTGAAATTGTTACGAAACTCGTAGTAGACATACAATCCTGGCCGGTATTGCACAACATGACACCTCGGACCGTGACCATGACGACAAGGAATCGAACGAATGGCCGACCGTCCGGTCGTTCCCGAGGATTGCATCCTTTCTGTTTCTTTATCACCGCAATGGCATTCATTCTCCAGGAGGCTCTTCGCTGGCCGGCCTCGTCCTTTTTCACGGAAGCCTACAAAGTCGGAGACTACGTAGATGCTTCCTTGTCAACACGATCGGCTCTGACTATTGATCTCTTGATGGCCAACCAGCCCTTGTTTGGCGTGCCGCGCACAGTACACCTGCCCCGTCTGCCGGAGCGCTTCTCCTTGTCGTTCGAAGAAGGCTTCCACTCTCTGCCCTACGTTGAAGGGCAGACACTGGAACAACTCGTGGTCACGTTTGTGTACAGCAAATCAGGGGACGGACGCATTCATTCGGTTGCCAGCAAAGCCATCCGATTGCCCAAAAATCAGGCCTTTGACAAGAAAGAAGACATCCAGGTAGTCTTTGACTGGATCGAAGAAGCATCATTAGATCTCGAAGCGGGGGCTGCAATCATGTTCCTTGCCGTTTTTGTCGCATCGATCCTGTTCCTCCTCCAGCTCTGCACCATGGATAACGGCGGCGAGCACGACACACGGCGCAAAGGACAAGATCACATCGATCAATATTATAAAGGCAGGTAGAATAAGTGTGCAGCCCTCAAGGGCATTATGCGTGAGTACTCTGGGTTTCGCTAATCGATTGTTTTTTACGAGAGTAAGGCTGGCGCCATCAGCTAGAATCCTTTGTCAGCAAGCCAACCGTCACTACCAATAATTCATAGATCTGAATTCTCATTGCCAGTACAGTACTTAACATCATGATTTTTACATTTATAGCTGTCACCCCTTGGACTACAACACAAGAATTTGGAAAACCTTTGACTTCCTGTATTGATGCTCGTTACCAATCAATTCGATCTTATCACTTTGCTATTGTTCCCTCTGTATACCTGCAGCATGCAATCCTCACACTTGTGGGTTGCAAAGAAGCACTGGCGACACAGTCGCACGGGTTCAGAGTCTCCGTCGTTGATGTCCGACGGGAATACGGTGCAGGTGCGGTCGCACCCGCTCCGCGTTTTCGCGATGCGCAGGTGGCTGCCTCGAATCTCAAACTTTTCTCGTTCTTCCGGACTCGCAAGTGCCCAGCAGCGATCGCAGGGCCCACAATTGGGATGCAGGTTGTACACAAACTTGTTATTGCATACCCGGAGGGTCTTGCCGGAAAGCTTGCCGTTGATGTCGCAATGATTCCTCTGTAGTTTTCGGATCGCGGATTGTGAGCCGTGGGGCATTCGGGAAAACAACGACACCGCTGGCGATCTACTTCGTCCCGCAACGGAGTGAAGAAGTGTCTGTATATTTGCTGACGTCGATCTTTTCGGCGAAGCAGATCCAATCAAGCTGCTGCTTGAATAAGAGTCGTTTTCGTTGCGCATCCGAGATCGATGACTTCCCTTCGAGAGGGAAATCTTTTCGAAAGGCACTGAACCCGTAATAATTGCATTGCTTTGGCTGGTGCAACGAGTTCGTCGACATGGCGATCCAATACTACTGTATCGACCGGGAGATATGAACCAACCAACGACGCTCCCATCTGTTGGAACTAGTCTTCCTTCTTTGTCTCTCCCGAAAAAGGGCGATCGGCTTGTCTCTACCCTGTTGGGAGTGCTAGGCGTACGGATGCGTTTGCGGAATTTTTCGGCTGGACTCCCTTTTCTCCAACGCTCTTGAGTCCTGTGAAACGGCATTTTCTTAGGCAATGAATATATCGGTCTTTCACGCTGAGTAGTTCCTGGTGGTTTGTCTCGTGAAGCCACTAATCTTACCAATGACTTCAGCTCGTCTTTCTCCATGGTCGGTGGCGTTTCGACCGAACAACCTTTGTTCTGGTCTTCAGGTTCCGACTTCTTCGCAAAAATATGGTCAGGATCTGAGCCGCAACTGGACAGATCCAGTTGGGAAGCAACCGCTGGTGCCATCAATCTTTTACAATCCTTTGCGCGTTCCGAAACCAGAGAGAAACTCATTTCGGATACTGATTCCTGATCAAATTTGGGTGTACAGAGTGTCGAAATAACGTCGAATTCGGTAGCTACAACATCTTTTGTCGCTGATTGACAATTCACTGCTTGTTGTAATAGGTTTGACTCGACAACGCTGGGCAGCCCATTGCTCCTTTCTTCAAATGGGTTATCTTGTCTGCTATCATATTCAACAAGTGCAACGTCATGCTCTGAAGATTCTCGACCTACCACATTAGGAATAGTACCGTGTACTCTAGATGAACCTGATGCAGCAACAGATCTCTCCACTTCGTCTGTGGCTTCAAGCGGTACATATTGTCCACTATCTTCGACCTGAATGATTTCATTTTTTACAGAGTCTTGAGATACCATATCAGGAATATGATCGTACAATCTCGAGAAGCCTGGTGCACAAATCGTTGTCTTCTCTTTATCAATGACTTGAATTAAAATTTCTCGATTCCCATTTTCGACCTGAGCAACTTTAATGTGAGAACCTTTCCTCGAAATCACGTTCGGAAAAGACTTTTGCGGTGTTGAGGAGCCTAACGCATCAACCATTGTCTCTATTTTGTCATGAGCTCCACATAGCTTGCCTTGCCCGATATTCTCAGGAGATGCAATCTCATCTTCTGAAGTGCCTTGAAGTACAACAGCATTAAGGTTGTACGGTCGTGATGACTCGGTGATGTCGATCATTTTCTCTGATTTGTTCATGGCTTCAGCTAGGACATCTATGACTTTCGATAAGAGATCTTGCCCGTTATCATCGACCTGAGTCACTGTATTGCCTGAAAAGGCTTGATATGACACAGCGGCAAAAGGGTTGCGCGCTTTCGATGAGTCAGTTGCGTCGATTACTTTTATGGATTTCTTATTGCCTTCTCGAGACATATCTTGCCCGTTATTTTCGACCTGAGCAACTACATCTTTTGAAAAACCTCGAGATAAAACAGCAGCGATGGGGTTGAGGGGTCTCGGTGTGTCGGTGACATAATTTGTTCCCTTCGCATTGTCCATAATGCAAAGTGAATTATCCTGCATACTGCAATCTTCCTTAGAGGCCGTTCTAATTCCAGGTTCATCTTTCGATAAAATACGAGATAAAGCACCATGTGATCCTGACGAATCGATCCAAGTTGCGGCCAAGAAATCATTTTCTGAAGATCTGACGAAAGAAAGATTCAAGTCTGGAGATGCAATTCTACTTCTAGATTCGTCCAAAGGCCTAAATGATGGCATAATGGAAATACTCTTCGTTTTTAATAGGGATGCTTCGCCATTTGAATCCGCTTCACTCAAGTTTGACCAATAGTTTGACTGGGATGCAATCTCCGACTTACTTGGTTTATAAAAATTGCTCTGTTCTAGAAGAGATCTTGCCGGCGAAGAAAAGCCCGATTCATCATAACCAAATCGTGGGGAGGATTTCAGAGATGTGTTATCCGGAGAGGAGCTATAATGATTCCTTGGTTCAGAATCATCCAACACGCTAGAAGAATCAATATACCCAGTTCGAGATGAATTCAGTACCTGTGCATCATCATCAGTGAATTTATCATCATCCATGGATTCCATTGTCTTTAAGAATTTACCAAGCATTTCGTCTATCATTTTTTTCTCGCTTTGAAGAGGTGAACGAGGAATTTCTGCTCTGATCTCAGTTTTTTCAGAAATCTCTTCGATGACAGTTTGCTCTGTTATCCCACTTATATTTTCTTCTTCCTTTTTGAAGGAAGAATATATTTCAGCTTTTGTTCCAGTTTGTTCATAGTTTTCGCTGATCATTTCTTTCTCACTTTGAATCGGAGAAAGCAGCTCTATTGTATCAATCTCTGTTTCAGTACGAAATTGTTCCATTTCTTCGGTAGTCCTTTCTTTCTCGCTCTGAATGTTTAAAATTGCGATTCTACCTTCGATCTTTGTCTCATTCGATATTGTGAGCACCTCTTTTTTGGAACCGTGTCGACCCTCGTCTTTTGATTCTAGATTTGGCTCCTTTTGGTAAATCGTGTTGTTTGATCCAATTGATTTGGTCGCCGACATTTTGTCATTAGATTCCATGGCATTCATAAAGTCAGTATGCTTCTCGAACCAAACATCAATTTTATGTTTATCGTCTCTCACGAGTGATGTATCTTCATTGTCCACTTCTGACACCTCAATATTCAGCGCTGGTGGAACTATGTGTTCCATATGGACGTCAACTTTGATACTATTTGTATCCAAGTTAGTATTATCGCTAGATAATTCTCCCGCCATAAGATTTCCAATCGCTTTCTGCTCAGTGTCAGACATCGTATAGTTTGGGCCTAATTCTATTTCTGAATGATTTTGAAACCGTTCCAGAGAGAATTCTGATCCCTTCTTGTCAATATCTGCTTTCTTAAAACCTCGATTAGCGGAACGTGTGTTGATAAGCGCTTTACAGTCAGCTTCGAAAGTGGACGAAGAAAATTTGCAATTTCGGACAAATTCTTCATCCAAATGCCGCACATGGTGAAGGTTTGGTGGACAATCATCGCAATCTAGACTTTGGTTCTGTTTCTTTTTATTTGCGATTGTTGGATTACCAATAGTTTGCATTAGAGTTTCTTCAATATTTGCGACTTCATTCTCTAGACTCCCTACAGCATGTTCTATATATTCCTTCTTTCTCGAGTTTTCAATGAAATTTGAATGCTTCTCAAAATGTCTTGCCATTGTAACATTGTACTCAAGTAATTGAGCCTTTGAAGAATTGCAGATATCCTTTTCATCCTCATCTCTGCAGTGGTTCTTGGTGGCAGGTATAAACTTGATGCTATTCCTGCCTTGTTCGTCCACAAATTGTTCATAGGATTTTACCGACGGAGGGCTTTCGGCAACAATAACTTCGTTGTTACTTCCAAGAATAGCGCGAGATGAAACTTCGTGCAATGCTGATTCTTCTGACTGTGTAATGTTGTCGATCAACGACGACCCATTCCCAAACGTATTTTCCTTTACACTGTATTGCTGCAAGATGAGTTCGTGTTCACTTTCGTCAACGACCTCTATTGCTCGCTGTTCAGCTGAATGCCGTTTGTAGGACTCATTCCATGCTTGGCTCTCACACAAATCTTGCACGTCATTTCGAATAAAAACTGAAGGGGATTTTCTGCTTGATGGTGATTCTTCCTCCAAGTGCTCGGTGGATTGCGCATATGATACGCTATCAAAAAACTCGGGAAATATTTCTTCGTCCTCTCTTGATACCTCAAATGAATCAAAAAAGTTGTCAATGCTAGCGTCCGACTCACATAATGTTTCGTCTATCTCTACATGCGAACATGATAAGGTTGAGGAATCAATTCGTTGCGTTTGGCCTTGGGGACGACCTGCTCCTTCATCGTTTCTAACAAGTCGAGAAAAGTCGTCGTCGTTAACCCGGTTTACTTTCCGAACGAAATCTTCTTCTCTCCAAAACACCTCTCTTTGCGTAGTTTCTGTCATTCCTTTTGACTCGTATACAGCACGCATCGTACTTCTCTTGTCTAAGGGCGGTATCGCATGATGACATTTATCTGGAGAGCCATGAAGTGCCGACCAGATCTTTACTTTCCTACTACGTGGTTGTTCTGATACATTATTCGCGCAACTTGAATTGTCATATCGGTGAATATAGGATGCACCCATGTGTTGCTGTGCGAAGGAGGGCGACAAGCGGTATTTTGTTTTCATCTCTCGAATCATATCCCGGTGTTTTCGCAAGGATTCCGACAGTTCAGAGTTGTACTCTATGTCATCGTCGCTGTTTACGACAATTGTCAAACTAGCCTCACTGACGCATTCGTTCGAACAATTGCGATTTGCGTTGCGGCGTGTCTCGTTGTGTGACAGCTTATTCATCGACTGAATGTTATTGGATGTTTCGTACCGTTATCGAAGAGGGAATGGCACTTGGTTTATACACTAATCCAAACAATGCGGTATGAACGCCATACAAAATATTTTTTTGTATGATGTACCGGTACACCAAGAGCAATTGTTTTTAACAGCTCTTTGCTTGAGTTATTCGGCCATTCCCGTACGTACGATACTGTACGCATTTCGTAACAATTGAATACGGTCGTTCGAGCACGCAAGTGTGAATAAATCGCGTGTAGAATAATGGGCAGTTACTGTGTAGTCTAGTGATAATGCATACAAACAGTACAGTAAAGTACTGTATTCTAGTAAGGGACTTGGCAGATATGATCAACACCATACACCATGCTGCCGAGTTAAAGCAGCTGGTGGTGGGGCATGATAAGGGTGTGCAACGGATACGTACGTACTATATTAGAAGGATATGTACGTATACGGTATCTGCTAAATGATACACATGTATTTTTTACCGTTGTTTTGACTGTATATTATATGGTACACATTTTCGCACCCCTCATATTTAGTAGTATCAAAATTTTTCTGTGTACATTTCTACGGTGCTGATGTGTGTACTTGTATTATTTTATTAACTACYGGAGTCGCCTAATAAGTATAATAACCCACCGTATAACTGCTAACTGAAATATACAAATAATGATACACACTCCCACATACAAGGGACTGGATGGAGTCGTTGGCGATGATTATTTTCTAGTACTTAATTTTGTGTAGGATTTTCACGTAGCAGCTCCCCCCTCCCCCCCTCCGCAAACACCAGCTTATTTTCATTCTATCGAAAAACTCAGTTTTGCAACAAGCCACTTGCCCATGGTGTTCCCTCCATTTGAAGCACTTATACTCAACCTTAGACAACAGGACTACCACMGTTGCATCCACAATCTCCATTGTCGATTTAACAAGCCCTTAAGCGTTYRAAAGGACCCAGTAGAAAGTCTGTTTGGTTCAGTTTAGTGATCGTGGTTGATACGATACTACGATACGATGCCTCGCAAAGAAAGAAGAACAAGCACAGCAGCAAACAGCTACATCGAGGAGTCAAGCAGCAATGCCACCAGCAACGCTGATAAGATCAACGCTGATACCAGCAATGCGGCAAGCAGCAGCAGCAACGCTGGTGATACCATCAACGCTGATACGAGCAACGCTGATACGAGCAACGCTGATACGAGCAACGCTGATACGAGCAACGCTGGTGATGATACGAGCAATCCGGCAAGCAGGAGCAACAGTGATGATGGAGGACAAGCATTAGCGGAGCTGGCAGAGCTAATGAGAGTTGATCCAGACTTATACATGCCATCAGATGATGATTCCCCCAACAGCAACAATGGCACCACCAGCAACGCCAGCGACCCCCCCTCCAGCAACGCCAGCAACCCCCCCCCCTCCAGCAACGCCACCAGCAGGAAGAGGAAGAGGAGGAAGAGCACCAAAAAGAAAAAGAAATCAACAGCAGGGAGGAAGAAGAGGATCATTCCAGATTCAGACTTAGGTGTCAATGCCCCCAAAGCAATTGGCACCTACTACAATTGCTTCTGCAAGTTCATGGAATTCAAGGATGATTGTGTGTATGATCATGATCATGTATTAACTGATGAACAGAAGGCGTCGATTAGGCCAAGGGATATTTACAGATGGTTCTGTGTGAAAGCCTATGGAAAAGCTCAGCCTGGTAATGCAGACTGTCCTAAAGATGCTAGGGCTAATTCAATGTCCTACTGGAAGAAGGCACTGTCTCATTTCATGTTGACACAGTCTGCTTGGGATGAGGTTAATGAAGT